TCTTAACTTCAGGGTACAAAGCAGAAGTGGGAGAGCATTTTTAGCTTTAACTCTGTTGTATTTTGTTAGTGCTTTTAAACCCAGTGATTCTGGAAAGGTTTTCTGAACCCCATATTATCAAGCTATTGCTCAGTGATGTCTCATATAAAATGGAGTATCCCAACATGTGGATTTCCTATCCATAAATTTCCCAGCCTTCACACATCTCACCTCTTACGGTTCTTGCCTGAACTCAGGTTTGTCCTCTTTCTGACTGAGGATAGGAATGTGAAACAGTTTATTTCATTGTTTAAGTTATTGATTTCTCCTGGGGCTGTAGGCATTCTGACAATAATGCAGAGAAGAAAGGAGATGAAGCTTCTCTTAATTCTGGTAGAATTGTCCTCTTTTCAAAACCTTTCACAACTTGGCATTTAGGATCAGAGATTTAATTCCTGTAAACTGAATTGAAAATGAAATCTAAGGTGCACAGTGCAAATGGATGTCATAACACTCAAACAGAAAGAAAGATTTGGCTTTCTTCAGCAGCTTTGTCTGGATCTGGTCCATCTTTGTTTTCTCTTACCTGTGCTCCAATAAAATTGTTTATACAAGGCCACAAGACATTTAGCCTCAAACTAAGTAATTTTTTTTTCATTACACTCAGAACAAAGTGGAAAAATAAAACCCCAACTGCAAAACACTTGTTTTTCAGAATAAAAATTATTTCTATTGCTTCATTTGGAAGCTAAATTAAAAAATCAATTCTTTGCACAGCCATAACACATAATCAGTCTCATTGACATAAATGCCCTGAATTACACAAATTAATTGAAAACTATATTCCTCTGTTATTGCTGAGATCTGTCACAAGTAATTTTAGAATCACTTATTGATCTTTCATTATTAAGATTTAGAAAAGCACTCATTTGCTAATCTGAACAATTCTGAGTTCATTCACAATAAAAATAATTACCATACCCATAGCAAAAATTAAACACTCAGAAAAAAACACCAATAAATTACTCTAGATATTACTCCAATTTGGAAAGAGATTTCCTCCATCAGAATTTTTTGATTTTTTTTTTTTTTGGAGGGTGAGCTGCTTATTTGGATGGCCTTTAAAAAGGTTTTTAAACCCCAATATCTTCACCCCTTTTGTTCAGGATAATGACAGAAATGTATGACAAAAGTACTAAATAACACACTTCTCTAAGACAAAAAATTAACTGTATGTTATACATGCATAACAAAACATGAGTGTTGGTTGATAAACAAGAAATCAGTCTCATTGTGTTTACTCAAAACATGGCTATAATTTTCCAAATTTCTCTCCATAAAAATTCTCACCCAGAAAAGAATGGAAATTGAATTCATTATATATACATCCAATTTGCCTTATACATCCTTTGGGTGTCATTGACTTATTTTAACTGACAATTCTAAATGATCCATTTCACTACAAGAAGACTGGTAGGCAGGGATTCTAAATGAATATTACTTCTTTTACTGTATTTTTGTAACTCTGGTTAGATAATTTTTTATGAAGTCTATAAGAAACTGAGAATGTAGCTGTCATATATGGGAGAAAAAACTCAGTGAATACCAGTATTTCCTATCAAAGCAGAAAACAGCTGAACATTAAGTATTTCTACCTGTGCCAAGTCTGAACACATTCAGCAAAGAGATGTTGGACACATAAAAAAAATCTTCTCCATGAATATCCCAGCTCAGCTGCCAGCTGAGGGCAGGTCTGCAGTAGCTGCCTGGGTTCATTAGCTGTAGCTTTGGGCTTGTCAGTGAATAAAACACTCCTCTTCCTGCAAAGCTTTATGGGGGTTCACACCATCTACAAGAAGATTCTTTATAACTTACACAAAATACAAGTACAGCAAAATTGTGCTATTTTTTATCCTCTACTGGATATTATATCCACATTACAGGATCCCTTCAAAGCACACTTTTCAAATGGAGCATGTTAGCAACTTTGGAGTACTTTAGCAACCTGCAGTTAAGTGAAGTGATCAACAAAGTTTTGTCTTTATGTTTAGGTGCATACATTGGTGGGCAGGCAGGACCAGGCTGAAATTTCTCTCATTACATCTAAAATAAAATCAGGGAAGATATTGCAAACCTCATCTTTTCCATTTTTGTCACTGTTCAGTGTTGAAGGCTATAGAAGAAAGTCTGTTACCCTGGAAGTTCATAAGTTAGCATGCATCACATGGCTTTTTGGTTTTACTTTCTTCAGTTTAATGAACACTGTGCTTATCAAATGCAGAAGTATCACCCAAAATTTGAAGTCTGTGACAAGTTATTGTACTACAGGACATAGGGTGGGTATAATGAACTATTGAGCAGTCAAAAATCAGCTAAAGGTGTTATGGTAAATCTGTTTTGAGTTCACTGATTCATTTTTACACAAAAAAGGATGACAATATGCAAATGAGGGAAAAGTCAGAAATAAGGACATTTCATTTACCTTTAAATTTAGATTTTTAAACTGCTGCTGTTTATACTTGTACCAACACACTGGCTTGTCTTTATCGTCAATAGCGAGAAATGGGTAGTTCCAGAAGACAATTCCATCAACCCATTTTAGATCTTTTTGATGAAATTAACTCTGTCCTTCAGATACCTATTTCTTATCACTGAGAATAAGGCCAAGATGCTTAGCTCCAATGTAGCTACTACTTTGCAAATTTCATTAGGCTTTATGAATCTCACATAGAGTAACAGAAATTCAAAATGCCACTGGCAAAGGCCCCTCCCCATGTTGAAACTTCAATGTGGAATGTTTGTGACCTTGTTGAACTTTCCTCTGATCTTGCTGCACACACAGAACACTATAAGCCCTTTGGAAGGGGCTGCTATATTTCACTGTGTCTGTCACCACAACTCATCACTGTTTGAAAGATTAAGCATAGGAAAAGTAGCTTGCAATCAGAGATGACAGGTTCTCTTAGCCATTCCTTTGTCCTCAGCCAAGAGCAGGTGTATTTTCTATCAGATTTGTGAAATTGTACTTTTCTATGAAAGTAGTTAAATGATTTTATGAATTATTACTGAAAAAATAAAACCAAACCATACCAGGAAACCTAACCCTCTGATATTCAGCTACCCCAGATTTGTGAATAGGTGGGCTCTTGAGAATAAAAATCCTGACAAAGCTGTGTTGAAATGTACGGTTATTTTTGGCCATTCTAACTGCAGTAGTGGTAAAATGTTCCTACATTCTATTTTATGGCCATGATGATTTTAATATAAAACCTATACCCATTATTCCAGTGATTTGAGTTATTTTTGGCCATTCTAACTGCAGTAATGGTAAAATATTCCTACATTCCATTTTATGGCCATGATGATTTTATATAAAACCTATACCCATTATTCCAGTGATTTGTATGGAAATATCTGTAGATTTAGATCTACAGAAACATCTCTAGATGTAGATGGTTAATGTGCAGGCTAATGGGAGCTACAGGGCAGTAGTCTGCCCTTAATTCACTGACTTCTTTCAAAGATCCAGCTCTCTGTGCAGTCTATTAATCTACTAATGACTCAAACCATTTCTAAAGTATACAGGCATCAATTCCAGCCTTGCAAGAATTTGTTTGCATCTCACTGGTTTTCTTCAATGTCAAAGCACTATCCACAGCATCAAGCTAGTCTATTTTAAGAAGTGCTTTCAGAAAAGATGTCTATATCAGGAAAGACTTTTTTATTTAAAAGGAAAAAAATATACACAGTATAGAGCACAGATGAACTAAAATTTAATGAAAAAAATCTATTGATATTAAAAAAATCCCAAACAATTTGCATCATATCCAATATCACACCACAATTCTACAGGATATTTTCATATTGGAAAATTGAAAAGGTTTAGAGGAGTGGTTCTGACATCATTTGTTTCCATAGATAATCCTGACTACTACCTACACAGAGTAACAGGGAGGGTTGCAGACAGCTATGGGTTCTCTGCATAGATATTTTTGAATTGCATTTCTTTTCTTCCTTTTTGAGCTATTTAATTGCCTAGTTTTCAATTTCCATATCTTTGTGTCAGGGTCTGCAACTATCCTGTAAAGCAATAATGTCCTTCATAAACAGAATGGGAAAATTTTCTTCAGACAGCAGAGATAATGCAGTTTACACATTACATCTGAAAAATATACTTTTCAGAGAGAAACAGGGTTTTCATAAATAGGTTTTTTTGTTGAAAGAACAATTAAAGTACGTAAGACACAGCAGAGTATCCTAACTAGCCCACATGAAGAGTGGGTTATTTAGGATACTAAAAACAGTATAGCTGGGATAACAGATTCTAATTCCCAGCCAAAGAAGGAAAGCCAGGACTACCTTTGCATGAACTGTAATGTGCCTGCGGAGTCACAGCCTCAATTTAATAGCCTCACATTAAAAAAAATAAATTACTGAATATATGATGTATTTGAGGGCAAAGATTGTTTATGATGTACCTAGTATACAGGAATTTTTAAAGTAAGTACATCTTAAAAGCTAATATTTTTAAGTAATTTGGCTATGATAATTTCTATTTGAAAAGTTGCACAAGGAACTTCAAGGACTTTGTTTCCAACTAGCTGTTCTAGTTCTTTTCTGCGTATGTAAGGTTCTTATATAGCTTGTTCATTCTATATTAGAGCAACTAATATCTGAGATTTAAGTCCTCCTCCTCTTGGCCTCATCTTCATCTATTCAGGCATGCTGGCTGGCTGCCACTGCTCTGCAGCTGTCTAGGCTCTGTCTCCGTAGATAGGGCAGTAGCCACACTCTGTAACCTTAGTTTGACCATAATTTGGACTGTGTCTTTTGCTATTCCTTTCTGATCTTATTGTATGGTTAGATTCCAACCTACTTCATAGTATATTAGCCGGAGATCTTCAGATTAACCCAATGCTCTAAAAAACCCGGGGTGTCAGTGCTATGAGAAGCAAAAGTCTCTAGGACAAGGGATGAATGACTCCACAGTAGACAGAATCACTACAAAGGAAACAAAAAACTATGTTTAAAGCAAAGTATTTTATTCACTTGGAATGTGTAAGGTAAATCAGATATTTGGACACAAAATTCAGAATAATCTTGTGCATCAATAAATGCAGTGTCAGATTATTTCAGGTTACCAACTCAAATAATACTGTTAATATCTGAAAAGCATTGAATAAGCCTGAGAGATCCAAGATGTACATTGATACACATTTTCAGAACAAAAGCACACTAAGATATCCAAGATTGCTTTACCTGGCCAATAGCTTCTGGTACTGTTGTATGACATGCATGAGTCACAGCAAACGACAAAAGAAGATCCAAAAATTTTACAGAATCTTTATTTGTCTTTAGGAGAAACTCAGGAAAGTTCTTTTCACTATTTTTGTCAGGAACTTAGTGATTAAAATATATTTTTAAATGTATTTTTCAAGTTTCTGGGAATTTCATCCTGTAGAGAACTGCAAGACAGAAACTGACAGTACATTTCACATGATGCCATAATTTTTGTCTGTGTTCAGATGGAGCTTAGAGAACGACTCAGTTCCCTCTGAAATATCTGCAAAGCATTTCATCAGCAGACAAGGCACCAAGAAGGGTCCACAGGTTGCATTGACTCTTGTCTAGAACAAGAGTTTACACATATAGTTTACACCTGAGCCCTTCCATATAGATGCCTAAGATGTCTCAATTTGCACCTAAGTCTCACCCTAGACCAAAATAAATTGTTGCAGAATTCAAGCTATTTGATAAGAAGTAGATATTTGAATACCAATTCAGGATCAGACTTGTGCATCCACAGACATTACTGACAATGAGACACTGACTGACAAAAAAAAATATAAATGGGAAAAAAGAAACTATTCTTACAGATTTTGTGGAATAAACAAAACAAAACAGTGTGATCCTGGGGCACCAGCAGGAGTTACATCAGGCCTTATTGTTAAAGAACAAGAAAGTCACCAAAAAGTAAGAGGACATATATGAATACCTTCAAACACATTGCCATTGCCATTTGCTCGGAAAACAGGGTTTGGATTAACAATCTGAGACCTTCTCCAAATAGAAAGTTGACTTCTGCTTCCTTATTGTGCACTTTAGAACCACACATGTAAATATTGTGTGTTTTCTTCTTCAAAAGTCTCGTGGTGTTGATTTGTGTGTTAGGAGAAGAACTTGTTTGGTATGTGTCCCCTAAAATGTAGATACACATTTTTGACCTAATCAGTAAAGAAAGTAAATACATTATATACTGATGATTTTTACAGTTTTGAAGCATGCCAAACACTTGTATTCCAACCATACTTCTATTTCTAAAGTTTTACCCACTCTGTAAAAATGTGATTATCCTAGAAGTGAGTTGCAAAGTAAACCAAGATTATAATAAGAAGAAATAATTACATGAAGTGAAAGCTCTTCATGTATGATTTTGATCATATACTCCAGTGTTTTCATCACAATGAATAACAAGTGAAGTACTGAAGATTAGTTCAATGTACTCATGGTATTCAAGAAATTCATTACGTTCTGTAAACCCGCTCAGGAGTTGGACTGTCATGTTACCTTGCGTGCAGAATATGATCCCATCAGAGTATGCTCATTGATGCTTAACCATTCTGAAAACCTATCTATGCTCAAGGGTCGTATTCAGAGTACTATAGCTGCAGGAGGGTTCACTTGTAGTTCCTTAGGCAGCCAGCTTTCAAACAAGCAGGGGTTTAAGTGCCTCCAGGATGAAATTCAGAACGCTTTAGGGGGAAGCCTTTTCCTTTTTCCTGATGGTAGAGCAAAGAGCTTTGGAAAAACTCAGGCATGATGTTTGTCTGAACAGTTAATCTAAGTTATGTGCATTAACAGGCACCTTTATCCCCTGAGAATTAGAGCACGGACTTAATATTTGGGTACAACCAGATAATGAAGGATCCCTCCCTTCATGCACAATTAGCGAGTGTGACCACAAAGAGTTTCTAAGACCTTCCTCTGTTCAGACCTCCTACAGCAGAACCTAAATCTCAGTTATATAGTGTGAGCCTGAGCTGAACTATTTATTCTTCACTTTTCCTGTTGAATCTGAATCACAGCACAGAAAAAGACTGAAATACTCAAAGGATTCATGAGAAAAAGTAAGAGATCTGTATCTATCCTAATTATAAGGATGCTTCCCTCTGAGTGATGCCTTCTTACTTCTGACTCTGCATATTATTCTAAGTATTATTTGCATTATTTACAACAGCATGTTGCCAACATCTTTTTAGATTACAATTATTGCTATATTTAATCCTTATATAAAAAATACTTAGGCAGATTCTGGAATTTCATATAAAAAGCAATTTTTTTGGCTACTTCATTTCATCTTATTTTAAAAGAAAATAAAAATTAGTAAGTCAGAAAGAAAATTCTCCTATTACCTAAGAAGTTCTGTAATCTAACAAAGTTGGGGATATCTTATAACACAATGGTAACTTACAATTGTATACATGGGTCTAAATGGAGAAACTGATATAAAAAATGGCTCTAGACTGACCAAAGTCTTTCACTAGGATTGTAATGAAAAGATGAATCATGCCTCAAAACAGCAAATGGCAATTAAAAATTTTTCATGCATTTGTAAGCTTTAAAACTTTGCCTTTTTTTTTTTGTTTTAGCAGTCATAAAATGAGATATGAAAGGAAAACATCTCCAACAGTCAATACATAGAAACAGAATTTACATATGTGCACGACTAATTAATGTCCAGTACCAAAGTAAAACAGATATTTGAAAAATACCTAAAGAATAAAAACAGCAGTTACTTTTTAAGATTTACAGAGACTGTTCAAATGAACCACATTATTTCTGCAGCCAGCAACATGGACACATGCAAATTTTTGTTAATGGATTTTGAGAATTTAATATGTTTCTTTCCTAGCTACTGTACTGTAGCAACTAATATTGTAACTGCCACTGTAAAAAAAATTGATGCATGTGTTTTGCTTTATGCTTTTTCAGTGTAAATGCACAGAATTTTTTAGACAGAATTTTTGGAGACAGATTTTTAAAAGCATATTTCAAAGTAAAGTGAGCAGCAAAAGTCTTCACTATTTTTTTTTTGCTATTTTTGTTTGTGTTTTGTTTTTTGTTTTGTTTTATTGGTTGTTTGGGGGTTTTTTATTTGTTTGCTTTGTTCAGCTCCACAAGAATTAATACTACAGTGGCATCAGTTATTTCCTGTGATTCACCTGTGTGGTTTAACAAAATAGACAGATGTCAGAAGATCAATTCAAGTACTTCTCTGGTGGAAAGATGCCACTTTCTCTTTTGAAAAAGGCCAAAAACTTATTTTCTGTGCCCACTCTCACAAAAATATCTCATGTTCTTTCCTGACAATCAATATAGTTCTATAAGAGATTAGAACCTAGCAAGAGGAGTTACCAAATAGTATCAATTTCCTTGCATGTTCATGCAAGATTTCACACTTTCTGTAGTCAGAAATTTGAGAATCATAAGAGAGAGTTGAACAGAAACACTCTTTAGGACTCTTTGAAAATGGATCTACTAAGATCAACACATTCTTTTATTCATTGATATTGGCCTTTCCCTTCCATTCTCTTTGCTCATGGTAAATAAAACAAAAATAGTTCCATTATCTTAATATAAATATAAATTACACAAAAAAAGAGAAAGAAGTCGCCGCACAGGCAACCGTGGTCAGCGTGGTAGTTGCAGGCAGTATAAACAAAGTAGCATGGAGGGTGAAAAGTGTGCGCAACTAGTTTTCTATTTTGGCAACTGTAACAAAGGGCCATGTTGCTCCCTGGATTTTGATCACATGTCTTTAGGTAAAATCCTTTTTCACTCTACTGCAATAATGATTTGTATAACTGAATATGCCAAACTGCCTTTCCAACAACAACTTCAATACTGCTTCAGAGCTGACAGGCATGAACTGCTGCTGTATTTCCAGTGTTATTAGGCAAAGCAGTGATCTGGGAGTTGAGTTCATCTGTGACCTACCTGAGTTGTTACCCCACTTCTAGAAGAGAGGCTTGTTATCTCTCCCAGGTTTCCAGATGGCTTTTCAATTATCTATTTATCTTGTACAGTTCTACTGAGTAACTGCTTCAGCTGATAACTGCCAGCTGCCCCAAATTCTCTGTCATGCCTGATAGAGATCTTTCAAAGTCGAGTCTGTTCCTGTAGTTACAATGTGCTGTGTTCTGTGTCACCATGAGCTGTAAAAGAAAACAATTTGATTGGACCATGTTTGATGGCTACAGAGAAAACTAACGTCAATGGAAAAACATGCTCTGGATATATGTAGAAATCCACGTTCTAGTTATATTTATATGAATTTTATCACAAAACCTGAAGTACATGTATCTCTTTCACTAACAGGCCTAGGATTAAATGTCATGCTAGTGACAGAGCTATCTGTGTGTACGAATGAAGGTGGAGTGAGACACAGGCTGACAATTACTAGTTGTTGATATAAAGCTTGCAGAAGGTGATCTAGATGATTTGCCAATATAATACTTATGTTATTACCCTGTGTATCACTGGGAGATGACAAGAATACACATCACACCAGCCTGCTTATAGACATGAGAGGAGTTTGAGATGTGTATTTATGGAACCAAAATCAGTGCAGAAAAAATAGCACACAATCAGAATGTAATTCAACATAGACCAGAAGAACACATGATCGTAAACATGCACCCTTTAGACTCAGACTCTGGGACAAGAAGAGACAACCTGTAATGTAGCAGAGAAGTTCTAAGCTTAGAAGAGGACCTGCAAAATTCTGGATTCAGCTAAAACTGTTTAACAAGTGGCATGTGGGGAAAAGGGACTATTCCAGTAGGGGACTTACCCAAAGAGTTAGTGGAGAGACTTACAAAAAGTACCATCAGGTATTCAACATTTGTAGCATTTTCTTTTTCTCTAGTGAAAAAATAATATTTAAAAGTCTTTTTTGTTAATATCACTAAAAAAACCTCAAGCTGTTACAACCAAAACAGTATAGTGTTTAACAAGCAACCTCACAAAAATCTATCAAATGGACACAAAATTAACAAGAAAGGTGTCTCTTGTTGTACTTATATTAGATGACTTAATTTCTTCTTAACAATTAGTTCACTGAAAAATACAGAATGACACACTCCCATATGCAGATAGACATGCACATGGAACTCTGAACCTTTAGCAGCTTCTTAAAATTCACTCAGAAATTATTTATTGCTATCACTCATTAAGCAATTTTAATCTGAATAAGGGACTTCCTACAGCAAAGGTGTACCAAGACTGGAAAGATGCAAAATGCCAACAGGGTTTTTCAATCTGCAACAGAGAACCAAATCACTTCAGTGCCTTCACTCTGCAAACACTCACAGAGGAGCGTATTCACTTAAAAACATGATATCACTGTAATCAAAGTCAAAGTAAAAAATGAATTCATACATCAGCTTCTACTCTGAGGGCTCATGGTAATTTTTGTGACTTTAAGCAGGCTGGAGGCTCTTAGCATGCTGTACCTGAACTTGTGCCAACTGTAGGCCGGAATCCCACACTGTTATACCTGCAGCTAGCTTATGTTCAGACTCTGCCTTGGACTAGAAAACACCAAATGGAATGAAACACGCAGCAACAGTGAGTCAATGAAAATCACTTTTCCTACAGAGAGTGGTCTGAAAAGAGGTATTGAAAGAAGGTGCATGAGGAACACAGGTATATACAGAAGATGTTTATACCTGTAATGGTTAACATAATACAATCTTCTATTTCTATATATATGTTAATATATGTAGTATAATATAAATAAAAATTTATTTACAAGCACAGAATATACCAATTTGCACTGTATGCAGCACTGTGTTACATACAGCATGCAGTATGTGCTATGCAGTACAGTAAATACTGTCTGTGTGATATACCTTCTCATATATAAGTGTAAAATTATAAATTTTACACTGTGTAAATTTATTGTGTATAATATATAGTATACATTTATAAATTAAAAATATATATCTCTATATATATTTATTTATTTTAGTTAGGGCATATCCATGGAGGAAATAGAAGTATGCAGTGAAAATGAGGAATCATTTCTATCTTCATGTATTTATTTTTCAGCTCTCTTTGAAAATTACTTTCCTAAAACTATATAAAACAGCACGCAAACTTTACTATTTCACTGTAAAGGGCATTGTAGACATGCTTTGCATTTAACCGGAACTGTCTGAGGTCCTATATGGCCTACAATTTTCTTCAGGGCATAAAAAGTGTTTGAATATGGAAGACAGATTTAGACTGCTGTAATGCCACGTATACAACTTTGATTTCAGCCCTGGAAGCTTTTTTAACAAAAGATTTTACACCAAATTTCATCCTAATTTCAACATTTTTTACCCCGTAGATGTGGGCCTGCCTGGAAGAGTTTGACCATGGGCACCAGTACCCAAGCTTTCTTTGCTTGCATGCCCAAGTCATGGCTCAGTGTCTGTTCTCCCCTCCAACAAACAGGCTTAGTGGGCTCCTCGTGGGTCCTTGGTGTTCCAAAGCCTGTAGTGCAACTGCTGCCAGGACAGACACCATGACTGGGAGCGTGCTGGGCATGGGCTCCTTTGACATACTTGCACAAGAGATGACTGGTATTGCTACCTAAATTAATGCAACTCTGACTTCCACTTGCTGCCCTGCAGTCACCATGTGTGCTCCTAAAAATGCCCCTGGACTCAGATATATAACTCAAGTACTACTTAGCATATGCAGTGTCACAAATTGACTCCACGTTGCTCAGTTTGTTTTGGGAAGAACAGTGTTTGCCCTCTCTACCAGTGAACTACTTACTGTTCCTTGTGGGTACAGCGCCAGAATCTGCCCAGAGACTGTAGGGAGCTGGCTGCTTTACAGACATGTGACAAAGTATTCCCTCCTGAATCTGAAAGAGGTGGCCTGGACATGGATGATACATAAATAATAACAATAACATCCTAAATGAAGGAATGCTTAAGTGTTACATTACTGGTATTTCCAGGTCTGTGTCTTCAGATTTAAAGGTTACAGTTTAAAACATAGAAAAGTTCCTAACACTTCTCACATAAAAGAAAATAAACTATTAAGAAAAGGAGACAAAGAAACCTGATTTCTATTAATTTGTGCTTCAGACAGCAGTGGTCTGTGGATGGATTCTTTGATGTAATTGCCATTCATGACGCTGGTTTTTTGAGGAGGTCATATACTCCTTTCCAAATTATTTTTCGAAAACATTTTGTTAATTGTGGCTGATTCTAGCTAAGGGATTCAAATGTTATTAATGGAAAATAAACAGACAAAAATAAACTGCACAAGTTCAAGTCTTTCCTTCCTTTACTAGCAGCTCAGGAAACTACAATACTCCCAACTACAGCCCAAGTTCTCCTCCTGTCTATGCACTGACAGTCTCAGTTCCTAACATGCCTGTAATGATCCTGATCATAAAGCTCTAACAAAGTGCTTGAAATCAAGATTTTGTTGTTGTTGTTGTTTGGGTCTTTTTTTTTTTTTAATATTATATTAACATTTCTTTTTGTATATTTTTCCTTTTGTACCTTTCGTTGTTGTTTGGGTCTTTTTAAAAAAATATTATATTAACATTTCCTTTTGTATATTTTTCCTTTTGTACCTTTCGCAACACAATGTCAACAACTATAATTACTCTAGTCTCCTCACAGTACTTAAGTACTGCACTTAATGTGCAACATTTAGACGAGTATTGTGGTAAAGGCTTTAATTATGCAATTATATGATTATGTTTATCTATTTCCTTACAGGATTTTAGCCTTAAGGATAGGATTTCTGGACAATTTAGCAGTCACTTTCATAAATATGTTTATCATACGTACAAAACACTTTCCATAACTTTTTTTTTCTTAAGGAGACAAAAAGACGGCAAATGCTGAGGTGACCAAGATTTTCATCAGCAACTCGATGCTGACGAGCCAAATTTCAGTTCCCGTTTCAGAAGGCGAAGATCCTGCGTTGAGCACAAAACGAATTAGGTTAATTTACTTTTCATTTTCCCCCTAACACGAGGAAACTGGTACACTGTTTTTTCAGACGTTCTGTGTACCAGAGAGGGCAAACTGCCTTTAATGTGAAATACTTGGTACCCTCAGTGCTGAAGAGGAGGAGATCGAGGTGGGACGATCACGCCGGGCTGCCAGAAGCGAGATGTCCCGCTGTGCCCGGCCGCAGCTCCGGGCGCGGGGGCTGCGGGTGCGGCGGGGCGGGCAGGAGGGCGGGGAGCGCTCACGGCTGGCCCCGGGGGCACAGGGCCCGGCGCTGCCCGCCCCAGCCCAGAACATCCCGTCCTGTCCCACCTCTCGCGCTGGCGCTGGCTCCATCCCCTTCTCCCCGGGCCGGCGCCGCGCCCCCGCCAGCCCCGCGGAGCCGGGTTGGGCAGCCCGGGAGGCGTCTCCTCTGCAGCCCCCGCCCCCCCGCGCCGGTGCTGAAGCGCCTCGGCCGCTCCCCGCCAGCACCCCCGGGACAGCAGCACCCGGGCCTCCCTCCCTGCCGCCCGGCCCGGGCTCTCCCGCCGCTACTCTGCTGCAGAGGACACCTCATGGAAAATAAATAAATTAATTCCCCCACTCACCCCCGCGGCCGGGAGAGGAGCCGGCGGCGGCCGCGGGATTAGATCCAGTCCGAGCTAGAGACCAGGTAATGTAACCTACCCGCCAGGAGGGAGGAGGAGGACGAGCAGCGAGGCCGCTGAGGTTGTCCCCACCGGGGAGGGCTCCGGGGGACGGAGAAGCGGCTGCCGCAGCCGGGGCGCGCCGGCGTGGCCCCGGTGGGCTGCGTGCGAGCGGCTGCCCCCGCGCTGTGCGCGCCTCACTGTCAGTCACACACACACACACCAGCCGCCGCCCACTCAGGGAGGGAGGGATGGATGGATGGATGGATGGATGGATGGATGGATGGATGGTTGGATGGATGGACGGACACCGCGTGGGACGCAGCTGTCGTCCCCAATACCAAAGCAGCCACCGCAGGGAGACGCCGCACGCCCCGCCGTGCCCCGCTGCCACGCGGGCGGGCGGCTCTGACAGCGGGGCAGGGAGGGAGGCGGGCGGCAGGGCCGGGCTGAGGCCGCGGCTCTGGGGGGAGCGAGGCGCGATCCCGCCCCCGCGCTCGGCGCGCATCCCCGCGGGGCGGCGAGCCTGCCAGCGCGCCCATCCCGAGCCGAGCCGCGGCCCCCGCCCCGGCCAGCTCCGCCGGGAAGTGTGGGCGGAGAGCAGCGGAGCACGAGCCGTGCCGCCGCGCTTGCCGTCATCAGAAACGGGCCTGCAAGAAGCTGTGAGCGGGGTGACCTTGGAGAAGGTGGATCTGGATGGAGCCGCTATTGCTCCGTGCCAGCTGCAGTTCCGTGCTCTGGGCCGCTCCGAGTTCCGCGACTCGTGCGTTGTTATCTCGAAACGCTGTTGGCTTTAGTTGTGTACAGAGGTTCTGGTGTAAGTAGTACCAGAGCCACGAAAATAGTCCTCCATAATTCTCTTTACTTGACCTCCACTAGCACACAGTCCTTGAAGGGAACGGTCTGAAGAGTCTCCCTGGCAGGGAGCAATTGCCTAAAAGGCAGTAAGTCTTAGAAGAATCTAAGAAGTTGCCCTGTTCACGTTTCAGAGACCCTGGTACCTCTGGGAAAGCACGTTACCTTTCAGTCCTGCAGGCTCACAGAGCTGTCACAAATTCTCCACTGCCTTTCCAGTGAGGTCGATAGGAAAACAAAACAAAGCAGAAAAACATTTGCAGATACCTGGATTTTCCAGTGCCAGCCTGAGCTTTCAATAAAGGAGCCTTACTGAAATTGTTGCTGAAAGCTGCTTTGGTAAAAAGAGAAATGCTAAAGAAAGCTGGTACCTCAGGAAGATGTCCATGCTAGTTTTGTTGGTCTCCATAATAATTGCTCATGTTTCCATAGTGGTTCCCATCTGTGGCTCTCAAGTTACTGATCAAATAATAATGAAAAGGTGTTTGCGGCTTCCAGTGCAGGAATGGGGCCATAAACTTAATCACACACCAACTGAGCCAACAACTTGAGAGCCTTAGCTCTGTCTAAATGAATCACGACAGAAAAGTTAGTCATTGAGACAGAGGGATGTACACTTATATTTGAAAGGAGGAAGAAACTGGCACATAATTCAAGTGAGATATACTTTTATGTACAAGTAGTAAATATGGGAATAATGCATAAGTGATTCCCTTTTTATTTTTAAATTGGATCTCTCCTCTCTCCTTGCATTATTGTCTGCTTACTTTGAATAGGGTACTTGAGCCTGAGTGCTGAACTCCTTCTACATGATGGAATACATTTAGAGAAGAGATGATACTCGAGATGTTTCTATTATTTGTGCAATCCATTACAGAACTGTAATTCCATGTGACTGCAAGGCCCCAGCTAGCTTAGTTTGCAGCATAGTGTTTACAATGTAAGTGGCTTCAAAGCAAAACAGCTGATCATTTTGAATAGGCAGAGAGATGGCTGGAGGTTATGTTTTTTATTTTATTGCAGCTTTAAATAATTTTGTCAGTGAAGAAAACCTGATTTTATTTGTATTATGGAGATGTAGAATAGCCAAAATACGAAGTGTGGTTTTCATGGAAGGTCTTTATGCATGGTGGGAAACCAAATTCACACATTTTATAGATAGGAAAACTCTTTGGATTTTGTCATGATACACTGATCTGAACGTATATTTCATGTGCAAAGGGGGACACTTCGAAATATTACAAAAGGAAATATTAAAAAGAAACCAGAATGTAGTTAAATATTGTGGCTCTGCAGCTGCAGTGAGGAGTGAAGGAGTTCTTTTTCAGCAATTTTCATTGTAAATAAATGCATTGTTATAGTATATTTAAAAAGCTTCCTTCCAGCTCTTTAACTTTATTTAATCTGTCATTTTCTGTAGTCTATATTCTGTTTAAGCTTACTCAACTCTTGCTATGGCAGAATTCTTCTAGAATCCAAGTTTTATCAGGGCAGGAGATCTTTGGGCAGCCTAAATTTATGGACAGGCAAGTTAAGAGAGAGAAAAAAACATTTATTGAATCACAAGCTAGTATTTTTGAAAAAAAATTTTCTTTCATTACTCTTCATTCTTGGATGTGGTTCACTACATCATACTTCTATTTCTTGATTTTTTTTCCTGGCATCTGAGTCCTTTTTTTTTTTTCCTTAATTTTAGAGAAACATTCTCTCTTGTATCCTTTGTTTCTTAAGTAAATTATCTTGTTCTCTTTTTGCAATGAGGAGGTGTCTTTATTTCCAATAAATATGGTTATTGTTGGACCCATTTTATTTCAAGAAAAGAGGCTGTGACTTACCTGATTTTATTTTCTATTGCACAATCACATGATGTTTTTGAAGAGTTGCATTTTTCTTGAGGACAAGTTTGCTTTAGCAAGGATAGTGTCTGAATATGATTCTCAATTAAATTGTATCCCTTAACACCATTTGCCAGAATTGAAGCTGTCAATTTTCTTATATGAGAATCAAGAAGAAGGTTCTTGGGCCATGCTAATAATCTGTGTTGTTAAATGAATTTTATGTTTCAAGGTTGGTATAATTGTAAAAAATGTAATTATCTTTTGAGTTTTATTAAAATGGTTAGGTCATAGCTATAAAACATTGATAGAGAATGTTACCAAATTCTGTGTCTGTTTGTGTAATATATGTATAGGGCATAGTGTTTGCATAGCACCAAGGAGGAGGTCAGATAGGAAAATATTATGTCATTGACCAACTGTTTTATGTGTCAAATGAACACGAGGAACTGGCTGAGTCCCACATATGCGTCTCAGTCCAGACCTGCATTCCTTGACTTGCATGTATTTGGGAACTGTTGGGTCAGCTTCTCTAATTTTATGGTGAATCTTGGAACATTTGTAGAAAAGTTTGCAGTATTCAAACAGAAGTAATTTGCCTGCAGGAGTAAGGAGACAATATTCCATGACTTAAAGAGAAGAAAAGGTTGGACAACCTGACTGTGCTCCTCTATTTGCCTTTACAATCTATCCAATAATTTTTCATATTTCTTGGTCTTATGGTCATGCAATCAAAATCTTGTTAAACTCTTATTGAAAAGCAAAGGGTTATCTAACTAGGTCACAGTGGCTGATAAATTAGAAAGAGTCACAGTCTTTATAGCTTGGTTTTTATCTTTGCAATCTTAAGATTTTTAAGTAGTATTTTAGGGGGGGTGGTGGTGGTGAGGAGACAGATTCATCATCATTAGCTCCTTGTGTAGATCTTAGTTTTGGTTTATGTGTTGTCTTTAAGAAGTTCCTTTATTTGTACGTTTTCAAGGTCAAGCTTCCTGTTCCATGCTAATATATTTTTTATTTTTTTTTTGGACACAGTGCTCTTCTGTCTTATAATTTATATGAAGAGCTTGATATAAATGAAGAGGTTTCCACGAAGAGCTGATAAAAATGAATAAGCATTTCCAAAAGGATATGAACATGACTAGGCCTCTTTAGAAGGTTCCCAAAAGCGAAGGAGGAAAATAATGGAAAAGAATTGAGCTTTATCACAAAATACTCTTTTTCTTTGTGGTTGTAAGACTTAAGATCTTAACAAATGGAATTTTTAATTCATAAAGGCAAGGAACACTAGAGAGCAAAGTTAAGCCAGGTTAATTTTTTAATTTTCAATTTTTTTTATTTCTGATACATTTTCTTTCAATTTGGTGTCATAATTATTGAATGTTAGCTAATGAATGTATTACAGTTCCACCCAACACAAAACCAGTGCTTTGAATAATAGTGTAAACCATATAAATTTTGCTATGAATTTTATATACTGTAGGAAACTTGTACTTTTAAGTCACCTGTCAAGAAACCACAGGATGTCCAAATATTGTAGAAGTTGGAATATTTGAGAATAGGTGGATTTGACATTATTTTCATATGGTTACTATGAAACATAAAGACAGTATCAGACTCCACAAAAAAACAGAAAACAGTCAAAGCATAAAATTGTGCAGACTGGAGTTGCCCAAACATGCAAGATTGTTTAAAAAGTGTTTGTTTTCTTTCAGCATGAATACTTGTATCCCCCAAAAGAACACTTTCCAGTTGTTTTGACTGCAAGCTTGGTATTATATTTCACTTGTATCTTTCTTTAAGGTTTTCCAGTGTAAGACTCATGTAGGTGATGACCAAGGTTGAGAAAGCATGTTGCACAGAAGACGACTCACAATGACTGTATTTCATAGGTTTTTTTTATTTATATATTTTTAAAGTCTTGGTCCTTCAAGTAGCTCATCTTCCCATACCTGGAAGCAGATTCCTGCTGCAGCTTCAGGTGTGACCATTGTGTAGGGTCCTTCCATCATGTGGCCTCGGGATTAGCAAACCGTTGGCAACATTCCCAAGTTTGGCACCCAGGGATAGCACCTACAACAAAGAGTTGAAATGGTGTTCAAGATGTGCTTGGCATCAAAGAACTTCAGTGTTTCTGTCACTGCAGTGGTGGTAATGACAGTGCAATGAGGTATGTTGCCTCTTCCATATGGTCTACAGTTTTAATCAAAATTAGTAAAATCGGTCACAAAACAGTAGTACATCATCCCAAAACATAGATTTCCCCCCCCGCCATAGAAATAGGTTAAATTAGGGTTTTAACATTCATGCTTGCCACTCTGCATTTCAACACTCTTGGAGTGTACAGTACAAGCAAAAAAGTGACAAAAAAAAAAAAAAAAGACATCTCAGTTTATCCATTGTGTGAGTTTTAACTTGATAGTGTCACCTTCGGAGTTTTACTTTTCAGTTTGTGTGTTCTGAAATCAAGAAATACTGAGAACAAGTATTTATTTTAAAATACTAAAAACATGTGAAGAAAAAATCCAAAAAGAAATCCCCATTTTTTGTGCTGACAAAAATGGCAAAAACATACATGCAAAATGTGTGTTTGATATTTTTTTAATATAGCTGGTTCCTACTGTAACGTATTTGATTAGTATTTCAGACAGAGAAATGAGCATATGCTTACTTCCAGCATATGTATTAGAGTGTTTTTTTAAACATTAGAAATTAGGTTCTGTGTGGTATTCCTTTCAAAACTCTGGAATAACAATATAAATATTTGGTGGTGAAGCTGAGAAGTTTTGAAGTGATACAGGACTGTGTTCAAACTACCAGCTTTAACAATCTGGCTTCTGAGAGACATAGCTGATTTTCTTTGATGATCTTATTGAGATAGAAATTGGATAAAAATATGGGGTATTTTAACAGTTACCTTTGCTATTGAATTAAAAATGCCACAGGAGTTGTCATTACTAGATTGAGCTCCTATGGTTTGCATTTTTGATATGGCCCTTAGGGCAGGTTCACAAAAGAAGCCAAGAAAAGAACAACTTAATGATGCAAATCAACTCCCCTTGGTAATGTGAATGTCTGATTTCTTAACAACTGGAATTTTATGTGCTAAATTCCTTGATAATTCAGCCTTTGCTGAGTATACTTTCCACTGAATAGATCTTTTCTAGAATTTAATTGCTTTTGCATGCTCTGCTGGGGATGGATTTGTGTCTGAATCTGGATTGTGGACCCTGTGTTCTCAGCAGTGCCTCCTGCTGGTGGTAGAAATGAATGTTTTTGAGATGTATACTGCAAACTGGAACTGAAGACTGGTTTCAAAGACAGAAGAAAGTGTGCCTAAGACAAAAATTGAAGGAAGCTGAGCAAGGGGGGTGCATCTGAGAACAGGTGGAGAGAGCTGAATAGAGTATGGAAGGAAATTGCTGCTGGAAGCTGAAGGCAGCAATGGGCTTATCATCCTATTACCAGCCCCTTTTTAGAATGTACATCTTTAGAATAATTTGTACGTAGTACTAAACTAAAGGATTGCTTTCTGCCCTGAGGAATTTGTAAGAGCTCTACTCATTTTATCACACAGGGATCCTAACTGCTTATCTTCCATTAGGCAGCCTCTTTCCCTTCTTCTCACCAATGCTACAAAAGGTGAATCAGGGGACTCAATAGCACATGATTAGAAACCACAACAACATATTTTAGCAAGGAATGAAAAAAGCTTTTGCATTTTTTGACCTCTAGGTTTTATATATAAAGAATGTAGGTAGAAAAGAATATGCCATAATAGCCTGTATTTACAGAGCATGAAGTATGCTTTATATTTGTGAAGAATAGGAAAAAAGAGAACCTGTTTTCTTTTTCTTGTGCAGATACAATTATGTTGGCTAGAGGCATAAGGTAGGGTTTTTTCTCATGTGTTTGTCATGTAGTTATTCAAAAAGAGATGTTTTGTTGTAGTTATGCTGGACATAGTGGTACATTATTTCAATTTAGTTCATTTCCTCATTCATACAAAATAACACTAGAACATTGAGTGCCTTTCATGGCCTGTGATCTATTTCAGTTTCAGCTTCATGCAAATAATGAAAGTGATTTTTAAGCTAATGAATATAAGGGGCAAGATCCCATGAGGTAGAGAAATCCAGGAAGGGCATTTTTAAATGACACCTAAAAGCACTGTGGTGATTCCACTCAGTCAATTAATATGTCAGTGTTGCTTGATTGGCATTTCCTATTTTTCTCCAGGTCCATGCTTGAGCTCCCTTCCTGTGGGGTAGTTCTACTGGGCTATAAGGAATTACTCATGGTTTACACCCTGAAATATCTGAAGAGACTTACTGCTTCTTAAGACTCCGTTATGTAACCTTTTTGATCACTTGCTTTGACTTGCCTGATTAGGTTAAATAGAAATTATTTCTCATAATGATTACCAAAATGATGTCTCTATTTCCAAATAAGTTCTTTAATGTTTCCATCTTCTCTGCCATTCCCATTTTTATTTTGGTCAGAAGTTTGTCCTTCTCCCCATTTATTAGAATCCAAACCAAGATACAATAGCAAGTTGGTGTTGTACTCTTCTCATCCTCCTGCATACCGGGTTTTCCACACTAAAACTTAAACTGCTGGTGGCCGTTTTCACTTGTAGGACATCTTTCATAGGATACAGATGAAGTTCCTCCATAGTTACCACTACTGAAGTTTTGCCATGCTATTTTTATATTTAGAGTTACATATGTTTGCATTCTTTATCCTTATGGATTTTAATTCTGCCTTTACAGTATCATAATTAGGGTACAGAAAAAACATAGCCTTGGAAGAATGGCACATTAGAAGATGAAAACAGAGTGGATGGGAGAACGCATTAACCTGAGGAGATAGTGTTTTGAGGAGTTTCACAGAGGCAGATATCTTCAGCCTAGCAGAAGTGGAATGATATGTCATGTTTTCAGTCAGAGCAGGTTTTAGTTGTATTCTGTTTTTTTAATTTTTTTTTTTTTGAGAAAGGAATAGAGAGTTTATTTCCCTCTGCTTTTATGATTTCTTTATTCTAATTGTAGGGCATAGGAAGATTTTTGTTGTTGATGAATAATATCATAACAGGGTACAGAAGCCTGTCCTTTCCACAATTAAAATAGATTCTTTTGAGTGTAGCATAGACACGTGTTAATGAAATGTTGTTGTTTAATTGGGTAATGAGCGTGCAGTTCTGGATACACTTCAGCAATGCTGAAATATTGTATATGTAAAATGGTGACTTAAATTGTATTGTTCTCAATGAAAATGTATTTTAGCTATGAGGCCATGATTTTTTTTCTTGTATGCATTTCCTGAAAAATTAGCAAATCTCTGGTAGTTGTCATATCCAAGCTTACTTTGGATTTATTATACTTAAATTGATAGTTTAATTGCACTGAATTATATGTTTTATTAAGTATCCAGGATATGTTTTTAATGAGGAAGTTGCAAATTTCTTCCTTATTTTTTTTCTTGTCCCCCATTTACCAATTTTATCCCAGATGTATAAATACAACATTTTTTTAATGCAGGACTGTACTCTTGTGGCTAAATTAGCCACCTAAATTAGGCTCTCTAATTTTTGTGTTCAAGTGGATCCTGGGTAAGTAGGTTGTTATCTCTTAATAACTGAAGCTTAAATCCTACTTTTAAATCAATTCCCTCTACTAATGAACATGTACTGGATGAAAACAGAAGTTATAACTGTAGGTTGAACACCCTGTTCTATAAGTACTTTGAACAGCAGTTATAGCTGTTTTATATGCAGAGAATCTTACATTCTGGTGTAGTTTGAAGGAAGCATTTACTTCTCAATATGGCAGCTGAACATACATGAGTGAGTAGATAGTTTTCCAATAGTAATAATTGTATGTATATGTACAAATACACAAGGTGATGTGAACATAGGAAGAACTATGTAACATGTTGCATACTAGGAGGTAAAGTGGGGAAATGAAGAAAGCCCTGGAAGGCTGTAGTTACATTGCTTTGATGATTTGGGAAGTTCTGGCGTTGCAGTGTGGTATTTACAGCCTGTAGGAAGCAGCCATAAATACCATATATACAAGTGCATGTATTTTCCACATGATCCTTTTGACCTCTTTGGACCAGTTCTATGACCAGGTGCATAGAAGGAGTAGTGGGTAGGAGTGAGCAGTTCTATGACCAGGTGCATAGTAGGAGTAGTAGTGATGGGTAATGTTGGCAGTACAGGAGTGTGAGGAGATGCAGAATTTGGACCAGCTATGAAAACAACAGAATCAAATGCTTGGAGGAGACATTTCAGTGCCAATACTTCGACTGGGCATGTGAGCTGTCAGAACTGAATGGATGAATCTTTAGTTGGCATTTAATAGTAAATTCAGCTCCTCATTTTAGAATGGAGGACTTCTGTAATCAAGGAAGTTTTTAGTCATCCAACCAAAGCAGAGCAGGTTTTGTTTTCCTGTGCCAAGAGGCTAAGGCTGCTTGCTTCTTAGCTGTTTGCACTGTTCCAAAGAGGAGTTTGAACTTTTTGGTCAATCCCTGCTGCGTTCATTAACTTGGTGTGTTTGTTTCTGTTACCCCATTGAGAAGGGAATGGTTTGTGTTTGTGTTCCTAAAAGTTTGGACCTGATTTATTTAACCAAACCCCACTGAGCTCAGAACCTTTTATATTTGTTTGAACTCATGCTCCCAGGCACATTTTATTCTGCTTCTGATTTTGACAGAGGGGAATCCCTTTTTTGTTTTTTTTATTTGGTAGAGCTGCTTATCTGGGCCCTGCTGAGGATAGAAATGAGCTGCCTACTTTCTGCTGCAAACAGGAACCAAGAGAGACTCTTGTCCTAAAGAGAGAAAAGAATATTCAAGATGGTTTCTAATTAATTGTTTTTTCTCTCAGAGAACTGATAATATCCGGGGAGTGTTGCAGTGATTCCTTAAGCAGGAGTAGGAAGGCTTTTCACAGCAGTGAAAAGACACAAGGTCTTGAAGGTGGAGGAAGAAGGAAGGAAGGGTACATGATATAAACTATCAGGTTACTGGGCTTTAATTCTTGGGCAGTCCAGCAATGCAATATTCTGCTTTTGAGGAAAGCCATGGCAGCATGAGCTACCTAAAAAGCCTCAAATGGGAGGCTGTCAAAGCCTTTAATTTCAATCCTAAATGTTCCAGCATAAGTAGCATAGATGGAGCTGCAGACATTGGGCTGGCCTTTGGGAGGTGGTTTGTGTTACTGCTAAGGTTACCAGGGCACCATCTCTAAAATAACCTGTTTTTGTAGAGCTATAGTGAAACTGCACAGTGATCTGCATCTTTCACCTGTGGCAGTTAAAATGTTATATTTGTCTCAAATAGACCTACTCAAGGTGTTTTGGAAGCAACTGTTGCAGTGTTCAGGCCTGCTGGGAGTTGCATAAAATGTTTCTGTCTTCTGAGTACCCTCAGTTGTCAGGATTTGTGTGGATTTTTACCTATTGAAAAACCTGCTTTAGGTCTGTAGATGCTACAGTCAAGAGCTGATCCTACAGGAGTGAAAACTTCTGCCAGCATAGCTGGCCTTTAAGGCAAAGTAGAAATATGTTATATTAAACCCTTTAATCAGTTTGGGTTGTATCTCCTTCTTGTCTTTAAACAAAACTACTTTGTCAACTGCTGAATGTTTTTTATCACTGTGCTTGTCTGTTTTAGTAATACATACCTAAGTATGTCACTTTCCCACTATAGCATATACCTACACTTACTGCTTACTTGTTTTAAATGCCTCTCTTAATCATGGTCCAAATCTAGATGAAAATCTGAGAGAACCTACAACAAATATAGTACGTGTTTAGCAACTTATATGTTGGTACATAAATCATAAACTTTCAAGCTGGAGAACATCTTGCATTTTCTTACAGGTGAGAAACAAGTATTTTTTGCTTAACATTATAATTGGGCAATGACAAAGATTGCTAAGTTAAAAGTAAGTGGTACAGGCTTTCAAAAGATGCATACCATTCAAAATTAAGATGCTAATAAAGGCAATAGTATTCAATAGTATTGCATTCAAGCTCATTATTCTTTTCACTTGTGTTTTGCAATGTCCTCACAGCATCCTCTAAAAATTAAGATGCTAGTAAAGGCAATAGTACTATTGCATTCAAGCTCATTATTCTTGTCACTTGTGTTTTGCAATGTCCTCACAGCATCCTCTCCCCTGTGAAAAACACTCTTTAGTTTCTAATACTGTCTCACGTACACACTCAGTTCCACTGAATTAGTACATTATCTGATCTGACTAGAAAAAAGATTTTATACTCTAAAAAATCCACTCTCCCACAAATAATTTGTAAAAGACAAATAATTGGACTACGTATAAGCATCTAAAGTGATCTGAGCAAAAGAGGAAAGTCATATATTAATGAGTTGGACATACTTAGTCTTCATGAGCTACTGCAACATTTAAAAAAAGTAAGAATGTTGTGGCTAAGTTTATAATTCTTTACTTAAGGCAGAAAGTGTTATTCAAATAATCACAGCAAAACTCTGCCCGGACAGAGTAGCTTTAAAAGTTACTTCTAAGGTATTGCATTATTTTATTTTATTTATGGTTATCTATGCATTCATACATTACATTTAAATACAAGATAGTGAGGACAACTGAAGGGAAATCAAGGGACCAGGGGAAACCTAAAGTACCAGTTTTGTGATGAAGAAGCTCTAAGTCATTTGTGGAGTAGTTTTTCCTTACCTTGGACTTTGTATGCTGGTATGTTTTTGAGCTACTAGAGTTGCTAGAGCAAGGAGGGTGAGACAGCTGGGTGAAGCTGGGGATTAGGGAAGAAGAGTGAAGGGAGGACAGTGGGCAATCTGTGGAGCAGCCTGAAGCAGTGGCTGCAGGTGGAGAGGGGTGGCAGACTGGAAAGGGCTTGCAGTTTAAGGGGCTGGTGGGGGAGTGTGTTTTCATTACAGTACCATTGCAGTGAGCATTAATGTACTGGTGGGCGAGAAGGAAACCACTGATATTTCTCTTTAACCTCTGTGCTTGTGACTTGTGCACAGGTGATTTTTAACCCATCAGTGTGTCTGGCTAATTTGAAAGGGTGCTGTGAAGCAACCCAAAAACTGGGATGTTGGGCAATGTGATGTGCAACATACCTTTCAGATTTGTATTTCCTTCATACCTAACACACTCAAACTTGTGCACTGGCACACCCTATGGCATGTCTAATTGCTCAAGCTCTTCTGTATCTGCAGTTATCAAAGCCAACAAAAAATCAGACTGCGTTATAATGCAGTAATTCACAGAGAGTAGTTTTTAAATTAACATTGCCCTTTCTTTTGTTCTGCAGAGGGATCTTCTGTGTAATTCTTGGACTTATTCAAAAAGATTTGGCAGTATCTTGGGCAAACAGTTGGTTTTTTTGTTAAGTTTTGAGCAATCCCTGATGCATATTTGGTTTCTGTATCATCAGAGACAGCCCTAACTAACTTTTGTTGCCTGAATCAAATCTGTTCTTCTGCCTCTATTTCCCATTTGGAAGAAATTGTATTTAATACCAGCTACTTTTATAGAACTGCATTCTGCTGCCTCTATTTCCCATTTAATACCAGCTACTTTTATAGAACTGCAGAATGCCACATATTCAGATATTATGAAATACAGTCTCACAAAATGTCAAAAAAAATATGAGACAAAGTATG